CATGGACAACGTGGCCCAAGGGATGGTTAACATTGGACAGCCATGGGCTACCGCTCCTAGTCGGTTTGTGATTCCTATGGACGGCACCACGGGGCAAACAGGAGTCATACCTGGGATTAGTGGAACAGGTGTAGTGGCGCTCACGCACATGGAGGACGGAGCATCGACAACAGGTGATGTGCAACCGGTCGCGCTTTTTACGAATCCACAGGGAGTCTACAATACATTTTCGGGGACGTGGGATTCACCACCTGGTCACGTATGGAACGGTAAATATTGGTATGAACCGAGGAAGGCTGAGCGTAAACGGTTAGTTGTGAGTGCGAAGTCGAGTGGTGGCCAAGAACCGAAGAACGCAGGCGCCAAGATCAAGTTCAAGAGAAATCGCGAACTCAACTCCAGTGATGATGAGGAGGCGGCGAAGCCAAGGAAGAAGCGTTTGAAGGCGGCTGTGCGACAGACGACGACGGATGACAAAAAGAAGAACATTGTGAAGTCGAACGGGGTTGAACGATCCAACAGTGGGCAGCAAGCGCGTGGCAACGAACAAGCCAGCAGCGTTACATGCTTCCGATGCGGCCAGGAAGGGCATTGGTCGAGACAGTGCACGAGTCAACCTAGACCGAAGTGTTATGCGTGCGGGAAGCTCGGACATTATGCTCGTAACTGCACCGATACCGAAGCCAAGGCACGGAACGACGAGTACATGAAGCAGCGAAGTCAAGAGCCACTACCAACAGCGGGAAACGCGAGTCGAGCGCAGTAGAGGGGATACGGCGTTCGGAGCGAGATGAAGGACCCCAAGTAGTCGCAATCGAGGAACGTGGTGAAGAAGGACGCGTGACTTCGGTGTGTACTATGAGACTACAAGGAAGAGAAACTGGCCGTAAGATGGAAACGAGCGTGGTGTCTCGACACGACAAGTCAAAGGATGGTGGTGTGGAGTGCTTAGACGGGCACAATGAGAAAGCCGTGCCACGATATTCCAGTGCTAGTGGTGAGCCACACGAGTGGGTGAAGCGAATGAAGAAGGACGAGGCCTCGTATGATAAGGAACGTGCCGCTAGGTATGTAATGACGGTGAGACCAGCGATGGCGTCGGCGAAGTTTGTACGTGCCGACCAGGACGATAGGGGCAAGGGTGGTGTTGACATTGGAGCCAAGGAAAGACGTCGATCTGGAGAAGGCGAAGCTCAGCGTCAAAACGAAAATGAGTCGAGTATGCTTCAATCTGGAGAAGGCGGAGCCGGACTTCTAATTGGAGAAGGCGCAGACACCGGCGCAGTGGACGAGTCAGTGGTAGGCATGGAGTCAGTGATGGTCGACGAGAGTAACAACGAAGCACCGAGCACGAACGACGAAAGACCAGGTATGAACGAACAAGCGTATAGTGTGGAGCAGGCCAGACTAGAGAGACGAAGGGCGAGGAAACAAGCCAAACGTCGACGCATAAAGGCTCTGTTAGCGAAACGTCGGAGCACAGAGCATGAGACTGATGAAGAACAGCGACGAGTTGATGCCGCACGACGACAGATGCGTAAGGCTGAAGCTGAAGCTGCCATTAGAAGGCTCAAAGAACGACAGCAACAACAAGCAAGGAGCTCGGAAGGAGAACGAACTGAACGCCAAGAAAGTTCAGCACGTGTGAGTCTGGTTAAGCATCAACGTGAAGGAAACAACGAACGATGTACGACTAACCA